AATTGCATAGCTATAACACCGCCAATCTTCACAACACGATCAACAAACTTGGAATCAATAAAGCCAGACACGAAGACAAAATCAAACCCCTCATCTAGTAAAGAACTTTGTCGTTCCAAATCAGGTTCCACCACCACATCAATGTCATAATCATTCACGAACATGGAACCTCCATCAGCCACGCTATCGATGGCAACGTTCAAAACAAGAGCCTTATGGCCTTTTTTTATAAGCCCCTCATTAGCAAAATCTTGCCAAAGCAAATTCCAATACTCCAAACTGATAGAACCAGAATTTTGATGAAAATCAACAGCATGAAAAACCAAACATGAAGGTCCTTTTAAAACGGACATCATGCAAGGCAAAGTGATAATCACCGTTGCTAAAAACAGGGAACGAGACAAAACAAGTAAGAACCTTGGATCCGGAAGCTTAATAACGAAAAGGGTATCAGGATTTAATGAAATCATTGGACTTTGCAAATGATTGTTCTGATTGTTGTTGTGGTTATTGGGTCGATACCCACCACCCATCTCCATGTCAAATGACCGGATCTGTATCTGAAGCGAGACACAAGAGCTCAATTTCGCTAAATTTCGCCAAATTTGGCTAAAGACACCTTTGATGGCAAAGGTTGCTGGAAAAACCAAAGAGATTGGGGAAACAGAAACACAGAGACAAAACCAAAACAGCGGAGAAAGTGCGTTCATCTAGCGAGTGCAAAACCTAGCAGCGGTGTGGTTTCCACCCACAAGAGCAACACGTGTGGTTTGGATTCTGCACCAGAGGATAAACAATGACCTAAACCTCTCTATCTCCATGGTTATTCTACTTCTGAAACCCCCTCTTCTTTCCCTCCCTTTTATGCTTTCTTCTCTCTTTACAAATATCAGATCAGACCAATGCAGGTCCAGAATAACCCAGATTTACGTTCTCTTACCATGGATCATCTGAAACCTAACCAACCTGAACCAAAATTGAGAGAAGAAGTTACTACAGGAGGTAGAGTGAGAGAGAGTGACTTCTTTTTGGGTTGTGTGAGGGGGAGGAAAGAAAGAGCCGCTTATATAGACAGGGAAATTTCAACTGCAAGTAAGAATATAGATATTAAATATGGGTTTGATGAGTTGTGAGTTTTGAGTGATCCTCCTTAATTTGGCCTAACTGTAGAGGTTATTTTTCAATTTTCATGCCGTGTGGGAGCAGTGTTCATAACGGTAATTTCCAAAGACCTTATTGGTAAAAACAGATTTGGCCATTCGGGCTCTATCCACCTTGTTTGATTCAATGAGTAATAATGCATTATTAATTGATTTTTTTAATCTTTAATTTAATCTTAATCCTTACCATTAAGAGAATATTATATACATAAATTCATTCCAATTCTTATTTGTCAAGCATTAATTTTATTATTATATTAATTAATTCAAAAGTTAATTCACTCCCTTTTTTTAATTTTTAACATGAAAAAAATTTATTCTTTACAAAGTACTTATTTCTAGGCCCAGCTTTGGCTATAATCAATTCAATATTTCACCTAATGGTCCAATTAATTTTTATTTATATTTTCAAATGCTTGGAAAATGGAGTTTTGGATAATGATACATAAACATAATAATACACAAGCTTTAGTCTCATTGCTCAAGTGATGATTTATTTATTTTTGAATAAATTAAAGGACGAAAAAAAAAATTTTGAACGTGTACAAAAAAATTTAAATTTTAAAATAATAATATTTTTTATTGATTCAATTTTTCATGGGAAAAGAATAAAGAAAAACAACTTTATAAGAATTGTTAGAGTAACAATTTATTATACTTATTGTGAACAAGTAAAACTTTTCAAGCGAGAAATGCAACTTTTACAATCATTTAAAAAAGGAAGAGAAAAAAATTAAGCACTAAAGTAGTGTTTGGTATAATTTTTAAAATCATCATGGTGATTTAATTATTATGATAATAAGATTATTAAAATGATTCAATCATAATGATTTTAAATTATCATATTTGATATAATATTATAAATTATTAGTACTTTTAAATCATTGTATTTGATATTCTATGAAAAAATAAATCAAATAATAAAAAATATCTAAAATAACCTTAAAAAATATTTAATACTTATTGAATCGGCAATTTATAAAATAGTTATACATCATTTTATAAAAAAATTATAAAGTATAAATCAATTTTGATAAAAATAATTTTTTTCAAAAATATTAAATAAATTTATTATCTTTGTTTAGTCAATATAAATTTATAATATAAAACTTTTTTTAAAAATAAGTTATTAAAAATTGATATTTTTTAAAATTTTTAGTGGTCAATTTCTTGAGATCATGTTAACTATATTTTTTATTAAAGTAAATTAATAAAAAAATTATATTGAAAATTACTTTGTCATGATGACAAAACTTTCTCATTTTTTAAATTAAAAATCAGATTACTCTCCAAAATCATGATTTTCTTTTTTTAGTAATTTGAAATTACCACAATATAAAATTTTTAAATTACTATCAAATAAAGTAATGCAATTACTGAATACAAATTATCGTAACTTTTAAATGAATCATCTCGAATCAAACACTCTCTAAAAGCATTTACAAGAAAGAGAATTATATCATGTTGCGAGTATAGAAAAAAAGCTTCACACTGTATTATTATGTAAAATGTAATAGAAAATACATCAAATAATAATAAAATAAATCTTTCACTTTTTTACTTTTCTTTCCTTTACTATTTTCTATCAACGCTATAACATAGTTTATATGAAACAAAGTATAAAAGAAGAAACTCTGCAAACAGAAATTGTCTTTTTTGTTTCTTTAGTGAAGTAACTTAAATTCTAAGCAAACTCTACAAACAAGAAAGACTAAAGTAGAAAACGTAAGCGAAGTCTGTTCTCGGTAACACATGAACCGTAATATATATATTAATAATTAGGAGCCAAAGCAGCGCCCATGGTAGCACAAACTTCTTCAGAAACATGAAATATATATATGGAGGAACTCAAGGGCTAGAGGGGAGTGGGAGGTGGAGACAAGAAAGGAATAGAGGGAATTGTAGTTGGAATTGTAGGGATCGATGGCATGCTTGGCAATGGAGGCAGAGAGAGCCTTGGGGAAGTAGGCAAGTTGGGCAAGCTGGGAAGTGGAGGAAGAGGAAGTGTACTGCCAGGATTCGACTAAGATGGTTGAGTAGTTGGCAAGGTTGGAAGTGTGGGCTGTGGAAGATTCGGGATAGAAGGCAATGGTGGCAGTGTTGGCAAACTTGGGATTGGAGGCATGGGTGGCAATTGCTGAAGACGCCGAGCGGCTAGGCTAACCTCGATGCTTGAAAATGACACTGCAATGAAGAAGGCTAAAATGAAAAAGTTGGAAGAGGCCATTTTGCAGTAAGCTAAAGTTGAGGAACAAGTGGGAGAGATGATGTAAGATTAATGGAGTAAACAGAATGAGGAATTCAGTTCAGGTTTGCATGGGGAAAATCATGGCTAGTGTTGGGTATTTATAGCCAGAGAAATGTGTTCAGTTCAATTGACAAAATCGTGAGGGACATTTTTTTTTCTGTTCTCATAGTTAGCTGACCTTTTGGCCTTCTCATCCATCTTTCATTGACAAAAAACTACATTTGTTGGTTGATTACTTGTGGTTTGGGCTAAATGAGTTTAATTAATACATATATTTCTAATAGTAATTCAATCGAATTAGGATACCAAACTCCTAGCTGATAGTTGATTTAATTGGTCGGTTGTCTAATCTTACTCTAACTAAGCCACCTAGAAGCTATGAGATCACAGGGTTTCTTACCCAATTTTTCCGATAATCTTGCAGTATAACAAATTACATGTTGCTTACTTGCTTTTCATATCCTCAGTGCGGTGGTGAACAAAAAAAAATGCATGGCAATTAAATTAGGCTCTGTTTCTAGCAAATCCCACCTACAATTTAACCATTCATGCATATTTAAAAAAAAAAAAAAAAAGCCTGTACGTATGTTTGAATTAGGACTAAAAAGAAACTAAAGTGAAAGAAAAATGATGAAAGAAAATTTACTAATACTGAGAATCGAATTTTAACTTTATAAGAATCTATCTTTTAATGAAATAAATGAATTATTTAATTTAAATCCCAAAATTATGAATTATCGATTACTAAAAATAAGAATAAAAGAATCTGTTGTGAAAGAATTACTGTTAAAAACTTGTCTAGAATTCAACAAAATTTTTGCACGTATCTTCTCGGATTAATTTATGTAAAATTGTTAATGTACATTTGAAGGTGCATTTTTGGTAGACGCCATTGGATATGCAGATCCATTTTATTACGTTGAATATGGTATCAAAACTTGCTCCTAAAATGTCCAAAAAAGGAGTTATCAGAATTTTATCTTTTCATCGTGGGTATCTAAGTTTATTCATTGCCTTACATTGAAACAAAGTTTGATATTGAAAGAAAAATAAAATCCCAAAATTAGATTGAAATTTTTTAATATTTTTTCTTTTTGGGTACATAAAATTTTGAAGTCTGCTAGCTTAAATTGGTGCAAATTCTTTTTAGCTTCCCAAGGATTTTGTGGTCCAAGGAGCCCAACTTTAACTTTTACTTTTCCAAGCCATATGCCCACTAACTTGTTTAGGACTTAAGAGATTTGAGAATTATAGCCCAATAAGAAAGGGGAATTTTACAGGTATTCTACGTTATTATGATAAATGGGCTTTTTATATGATCAAAGTTTGGGCATTAATTGTCCCCAACAATGAGGGAATAGTTGTAGAAATTTTTTATGGGCTGGTAGTAGAAGATTTTGTAGTCAAACTCCTCAACCTTTAGTAGCAAAAAGTTTGGGCTTCGGGTTATCCTGGAAGTGGTCGTAAATTTGTGATGCAATCTCTTGCTTTGTATGCTCTCCAATTACATTTCGTGGCATGCAATGGTGCACATTCTAGCAGCTGCAACCCAAGTCTTTGGACATAGTTTGAAGCATTGCAAGGGCCAATGAGAAAACAATAAAAGAAGTAGATGGTAAAGATCAATAAACTTTTACAATATGGATATATAATCATAAACTGATTTCTGATGATACAATACACCCAATGATACAGCAAACTTCTAATATTTGCGAAGACAAGTATGGTGGAAAAAGCAAAACAGCAAAACAGCAAAAAGGGAAAAAGAAAAGAGTAAAGGAAGGGAAAAAATAGAAGAACAGAAAAAGCACTGAAATTGTGAAATAAACGAACGGCTAAAGCCTAAAAGCCTCTATGTTTCCCTGGTAATACAAGCTTAAAGTGCAAAAAGGCCTTAGACAGATAGACCACACCAGAGCAAACGCGCATAGTCCAAACTCTTTGTATCAGGGTTCTGGGAGCACGAACTGGATAATTTCAGGGGCTAGTTTTTGCAGGTGGTGGGGAGAAGAATGGGATGGATGGAATGGTAGTTGGCATTGTGGGGATGGAGGGCAAGCTAGGCAGAGGTGGCAGGGTGACTTTCGGGCCAGTGGGAATGGTAGGCAGTGTAGGCAGGCTAGGAAGTGGAGGTAGAGTGCTGGGCTTGGGAAGTGATGGTTGCGGCAATGTTGGGATTGTTGGCTGTGGGAGATTTGGAATAGATGGCAACGGTGGCAACGTTGCTCCAGGCAAAGTCGGCATTGGTGGCAAAGGTGGCAGCTGGAGAAGATGACGAGCAGCTAGGCCAGCGTTGATGCTTGAAAATGACAAAGCCATGAAGAATGCTAAAATAAAGCAATTGAAAGAGGCCATTTCGAGTGATTTGAAACTAAGCAGAGTGTTATTTTGAAAGGAGTAAAAAAGTTTTCTCTTAATAGTTAGAGACTTTTGAGTGAGGAAGACAAGGCCTGGTGTTGGGTTTATATAGCCCTGGTGTTGGGTTTATATATTAAGTACTGAAGTGAGCCACTTAGATCAATATGTCAAATAGTATAATTGACCAAACCATCCAGGTTACCAAAGTTTCCGCTAATTGGCAGGTTATCTAACAGGAGCATAATGCTCATCGGTTTTTGGGCCTTAATGTACACTTTCCAGTAGAATGTGCTATAGGCATTGGGCTGCCAGCAATCAAGAAGAAGTTGGAGCTTCTCATTTTTCTTTTCTTTCCTTGGGATGGGACTTTACTGGAGAACGCAAGTCATTAACCACGGAACTCCCATCTTCATTTCTCCAGTGGCAAAAGAGTGTTACTCTCTGGATTCAAATCCGTGAAGAGATAGACAATTTTTCATAAACTCGCTAAGTTCAAAAAAAAAAAAAAATTTGCTTAGATCAGATCCGAAAAAAGATATATTGAGCAAAATCTAAAAAATTTTTTATCCCTTTAACAAAATAAAATAAAATAAAAATGTCTATTGTTCTCTGCAATAATTTTAGAAATACTCGACATCATCCGTAGAGCAGGACCTTTTATTCGCTTTAGCAAGGAAAAGAATCGAATTAAATTTTACAGAAAGGCAAGAGAAATTAGTCTTGTTGAGGTCAAGAACTAATCAGGCAGCATTTATTAATATCATCAGTGGTTTCTTCCGATTTATTTTCTATAAAGTATTGTCCAGATCAATTCAAGACCTGCTGACAGTAATGTGCGAAAGTATCATACAACTCAGCAATGTCTAATTCTCTATCTTGTAATAATCAATGATAATGGATTTTTCAATCTCTGGAAGTACTTTTTCCGAGTAGTTAAACGTTGTATCACCACTAATTGTTATTTTTATCGTTGGCCTCCCAAATTCCCTCCGTTTTTTGTTCAAATAATTGAATCCTGTTTTGAGCTCATGTTAAGCTCTAGATATAGCCACTCATTTCTCTCCATTGTCTTGTCTATATTTTGATTCTTTTCTCTGCTAAACTTGTCTATCACGGCTGTTACTAATGGTTATATCATATTCCAAACTCCGCAATCTCTTCTTCTATCTCCTATCACGGCTTCCTTGTAAAAAAATGATTAGATTAATTAATTAGTTTCATGGTCTTCTCTTTAGTAGAAAAGGTAATGGGAATATCAAAAGGGAGAAACAAAAAAGAGTGCAAGAGAAAAGGAGAAAAATGGAATAGAACATAAATAAATAATCCCATAACAACCATTAACGTATCAAAGTACAGCAAATAATGGGAAACTCCCATTTGTACAAACAAATATATGTGGTGAAAAAAGACAATACTGATAAAAATCATCAGACACAAAACGGCTGAAAGCCTCTAATATCTCCATAGAGAGAGTACACATATATTAATAACTAGTCATATGCTATACGACCATAACATGCTAAATTAAATCCACTCCATAGTATCACCTTTTCTATCAAGAGACAGAAAAAGAATTTTCATGGACTAGGAGCAGGTGGTGGGGAGAGGAATGGGATAGAAGGAATTGCAGTTGGGATTGTGGGGATTGAGGGCATGCTTGGTAGCGGGGGCAGAGTGGTCCTTGGTGCAGTCGGCAAAGTGGGCAAAGCAGGCAAGGTAGGCAAAGTAGGCATGCTAGGAAGTGGAGGTAGCGCGCCAGGCCTTGGCAAAGATGGTTGAGTAGTTGGCAATGTTGGTATTGTTGGCTGTGGCAGATTTGGAATTGATGGCAACGGTGGCAGTGGAATAAAAGGTAAAGTTGGTAATGGAGGCAATTGAGGCAATTGCAGGAGATGACGGGCTGCCAGGCCAACATCAATGCTTGCAAATGACAAAGCCAGGAACAAGGTCAAGAAGAAGTAATTGAAAGAAGCCATTTCTTCTGATGATTGTCTTAAGAATTGAAACAAGAAGAGAAAATTCTTTTGGTTCGAGTGAGGAAAACAAGGGCTGGTGGAGGGCTTATATAACTTTAATGCATATGGCTTGGCCTGTCAGGTTTGGTAAGTTTGGGTTCAGGTTGTCATGTATGGTTGGGAAAAAGTGGAAACTTATTTTCCATATCTCGTTAGCTTAACTCCTAATCCATCTTCTTCCGAGAATTGTCAAATGTAGTTGGTATATGCAGATGCTGCAGTCACCAAAGTGATCACACAAATATATCAATATGGACCGAGTCAAATGGTACTCTGAGTTACATTTTACTTCTTGATTGGTTGGTTGGTTATCTAATAGAGTTCTTCTGGAAGCCATTAAAGTTATATCACAACAGCAATGCAGATCAATGGAACTGCATTCAAATGCATCTTCGGTTGTTAAGATGAACTAGTACTTTTTGGAATTTGGATTCCTCTTTGCTTAAGAAGAAACTGATTCTAGGATCTTTTGGTTGATTGAAGTTTTGGAGAACCTATAGTTAATTTCGTAGTTGACAAATTGGAATCCTTTTCTTTGCAAGGATAACAGGATTTTTTTGAACAGGTTAATTTCAGTTGAATTTCTTCACATAACGTACACAATAAACTACTAAGCAGTCCTTTAGAATAGTTACTCGAAATATTATATGATAATATAATTGAAAAGAAGAATACACATCCTCGAAGTAATTTTTTCTTTCTTTTGTCGAGTTCATGAAATTATTTTCTTCTTTTCATTTAAAGATTGATGCTAAACTGTCATTAATTAGTAGATCAGTTACTAATAACTTTCTATTCTAGGTAGAAACAATTGCATTACACCAAATTTGGTCCAAATTCTCATGGATGGACATATGAACAAGCCGGTATCTTGAATCCTAAAGAGAAAATTATCCTCTCTGGGGAGCATTGTATCAGATATTCTCATTTCTTACAAACCATAGAAAACTTACTGCTTTAGGGGAGTCCATTTTATCTGATGCTACAATTAACCAAAAACTACCCAAAGGAACGTCAGTTTTGGAGGGGTTTCTAGGGATGGAATGGAACATAACAAGTGATCCTGTATTCCTCGCATCCATCAATCAAAAAAATTGTAGATTATACATCATGATATTGCTAGGATGACTCATTTAAGACTGATCTAATTGTCAAGTACATATTTGATTCAAGACCAAAGCCTGTCTTCCACATCTCTTGAATTCCCAAACTTCACTTCAAAACCACTGCCGCCTTCCTCAATGCTAAGTACCTTTGCACGTACTCTTTGGGAAGAGATCTCAAAAGCTTGAAAACATCAGCATTTGCTTAGCAAAGATTGGTCCTTGGATCACAGAAAGGTGCCTGCAAAGCAATCATGAGTATATTGTTCTTTATTGTATTCCAGAAATTGTAATGATCTGTTTGAGTTACAAATAGCTAGAGTTTGACTCAGCAAGACAGTGAACTTCAGGTTTATGTTACAAGTTATATGTAAACAATTCAAACATGGTTCAATGGACTCCAAAACAGTATACCTGAGTCATAGTTAATTTTGGGTTGCAGGAGGAGTTTCACACAACATTTCAAAATCAAGTTTGCTAAACCATTCAGGAACTCTATCCATAGCACCAGTATCGACCACAAACAAAGTAGCTAATATATTTCACCTTCTTTTAAATCGAGGAGTTTGCCAACCAATATTTATTTATTTAACTAAGAAAATGAGAATCAATAACGGCGTAGTTGAGTTTAGCCAAGTATACTTGCACTACTCACAGTGTATCCATCTAAACATGCTAAAACAATAACAACCAACACCCTCGACCAACATACTCGAGCATCTTTTTCTTTTTTTGCTTGAGAAAGAGAGTGGACACATATGAACAGTTGGAAGCTTAAAGCAGAATAGCGATAAACCAAACTGCAGTATTATTTCCCTTTCGAGAAAAGGAATCAGGCCGTCTAGGGTACCAACTGAACAAAGAGGAAGTTTAAGTTAAGCAGAAAGGAGCATCATATGTTTTGAAAAATAATCTAGAATCCTCAGAATTTCAAGTGATTAACAGAACCACATACCTCAAATCCTGTTATACCAAAAATTCTTTTGCACGGATGTATTGTAGGGGGTGACTCAATATTAACATATGCAAAACCAAATTAAGCAAATGGAATTGCTTCATCAGGTTGTTCTTGAAACTGATTTCTTTGCAAGAAAATCATTTAACAACAAAAGCTTCTAACAATAGAATTCCTCTTTAAATGCCAAACTCTAAGCCTAAGTAGATAAATATAACAATATAAAAAGATATTATACAAGCTTTTAATTATGGAGTTCTAAAAGATTTTCATTGAAACTCATGAAAAAACTCAGCTTTATCCAATTCTGAACTCTTCAAAATACTTATGAACACAAATTGAAAAAGTCCTTCGAAAAAGAACAAAAGAAACTTACAATTGGGCTATTTCCACCTGACTTTCGATTGGCCTTTTGGCTACTTCTCAGAAACTCATATGCGTCGGCAATACCAACTCTGCTTTTATCACCTCTGCCTCCATTACCTTCCCAATAATCTCCAACCCCTAAAAGAATCAAAGCTCCCCAAGAAAAATAAATAAAACATTGGCTAAAAGAAGAGGGATCTTTGATTCTCGGAGTCTAAAATTAGAATCCTAGAAAGTAAAAATAATATTTTGAGGGAGAAGATGAAATGCGACGTCGCGATTACAAAAGTCTTCGCCGGGGTTATAATACGTGGGGCCCATATGAACTGATATGTAACGTGCCCATTATCCTATGGCACATGGGGCCCGCTTATCTTTTCTTATCAATGTTAAAACGACGCTCCTTCTGGACTAAAAAGGTCAACAGCAACAAAAGCAGTAAGGCAGTCGGTTTCATTTTTACCTTCTTTTTTCTTTCGAGTTCCAACTTACAAGGCCTTTGATAGTTTTTCAGTTTTTTGTTTCTTTTATCTCCATGGTTTTTTCTTTGAAGATCATTGTTGGAGACTTTGTTCACAGGTAATGATTAATGATTGTAATTTCAATAATAAGAAAAACCTTTTTCTTGATCCTGATCGGTTGCTGCTGAGAAAAAACATTTGACTCAAAAAGGTCAAACATTTTCTTACCTTGATCTTTTCTTCTATTTAGCTTGATTGTTATGTTATGTTTGAAGTTAAGGTTTGTTCTTTTTGTTTCTTTGTTTGTTTAAGTGGATCTTTTGATTGCGGTTGAGAATTATTACTGGGTTTTCCTTGAATATTCATGGTTTTTGCTGTATGATATTGATTCATTATATTTTGTTTACATAATTGGATTTTCAACCACCATGGAGTTTGGGGGTGCTGGCGTATTGCCCAAATCTAGTATTGTGACTTTGATTTATCTAGCAGTCCATGAATTCTATTGAGTTTCGATTGCATACTGTGATATTATGATTGATTGTTTTTATTGTATTTAGGAACAGATTTTTCATGTGGGCTCATTCGGTTTTTGTTCATGTGGAACCTTTTGTTACAGGCATGAGGGACTTCATAATTGACTTTGAGTACCTAGTAGAAGGTCTGTGTTGGTATTTTTTCGAGGCTTCGGATATTGTTGCTGAGGAATTAATGGCATTCTTGTCTGTGTTGTTGTCCTTCCTTGAGGAGTTTGTTCATTTCTTTTTTTGTCTGATCTTGATTGCTTAGATTCTTGACAACTTTGGATTTGACATTGGAAGCTTATTCCGATTGGGAGTTGAGGATTTGAGTTTTTTAGATCGTTTGAAGGCTTGCTGTTTAGTTGATTAATTGCATACTGAGACTAGCTCCAATGGGATCGATTCAGAATACTGTTCATTATTGTTGTGTTTCAAAGGGTAACAGGACTCTGTATGAATATGGTGGGGGAGATCATGAGATAGAAAATTTGGCTGCCTTGTGCTTGGAAAGGACTCCCCCATTCCACAAGTGGTATTTTGAAACAATAAGTCAAAAGACTTTTGGGTTTTTGATAGAAGATGGGTATGTTTACTTCATAATTGTTGATAAGGGTCTTGAAAACCTTGGTGTGCTTAAGTTTCTAGAGCACATAAGAGATGAATTTAAAAATTTTGCTAGGAAGGGTTCAAAAGGTAGCTTTTCAGGTATGAGTTCAATTGGCGTCCAAGAGCAACTAGTGCCTGTTATCCAGCGCTTGGTAACTTCATTAGAACATGTTTCGTATGGTGGCAATGATTGGAAGGATGAAACTCCCTCATCAGATCATGAAGGTCTCTCCCCATCTCCAAATAACGCCAATGTGCAACTTGAAGCTGCTAGTTCTACTAAAGCCCCTTTGTTGGGCAAATCTAAATCTAGCAAGCAAGAGAAGAAGAAGTTGAAGGATCACGTGATTGCAGTGAGAGATATTGAGTTGGAGGAGCATCGGAAATCTACAGATAGAGGAGTGAAGCTTGATTCAACAGCATTGGATTCTAATAACCAAAATGGAGCAAGTTCTTCGATCTCATTGCAGAAGGACTTTGGTTCAATGAGGATCAGATCTGGCTCTCAGAGCATTCGAAAAAAGTGGTGGCGCCACGTCCGGATTGTTCTTGCTATTGATGCAGCTGTTTGTTTGCTATTGCTTGTGATTTGGTTGTCAATCTGTAAGGGCATTGAGTGTACCCATTCATGATTCCAAATCAATGCCACAATTGAAGTTTCATCTTCAGGACCAGGTATAAAAAATCCTGTAAGAATAGGTTTAAGCAGAGAGGGAATGGTTGAAAGCAATATATCAATCTTGTTAGTGGGTTTAAATATCTCATCAAGGTATGTGTCTCAAATTACACAGGCAGTGGCATTAGGTGTACAGAGTCCTCTGTATAGATTCATAGTTTTATGCATTTGTACATCAAAATCATATTGTTATCTGAGTGTTTTTTACGCCATATTCTGCATCAATTATAATGTTTGTAGTTGCGGGCGCAAATGAGATTTTCTCTCCACAACTTATTCTTTTCTGAATTTCATGTTTCAAAATATATGCAAAGGTTTATGTTGATACTTGATTAATCTGCTGAAAGTAGGAATTTTTGTTCTCAGTTCTCACTGAATAAATCTAACAGTTTTATGTTAGTACTTGATTTTAAGGATTGGATTTAGAAACTCAAGTCATGAGCTTGGAGTGAGACTGAAACCTATAGTCGAAAGTGTGCTCTTTGTGGAGGACACTAAGATCGTAGGAATCCCATCAAAGTATTGTAACACAATGGAAGCATAGAGAGAGAGAGAGAGAGATACTGATCTGAAAAGGATTATCAATAAAAAAGAAGCTGAAAATGATCACCAAAAGGTTTTAAATTAAAAAATTACAAAATACAAAATGTTATCTCCCAACCCCAGCCCATACATCCTTTGCAAGATCCCCTATTAAACACAGATACAGAAGCAACATATTATTACAACACGAACAAAGTAGTTATTTCTTGAAATTACAAGGAACAAGCATTATTTTTTTAATCGTATTGTCATTTATAAATCAAGCACATTCTTTAGAACAAGGAGAATGCAAAAGCAAATGATAAAAAGAGATGAAATTAGAAAGTTAGCACCAAAATGATCGGTTCTTCACTACAACTCTGTTTTTTCCGTCCATAATGCTTTCCTTGTAATCCAATGTCCATTTCTCAAAAGTACAGTCAACAAAGTCATAGTAGCCACCATGCAGAGAAAGCACCCCTTTCTTCACCTTTTCTTCTATCCATGGATAAGTAAGCAGGTTTAACAGTGAACAGTTGATAGATTCCTGAAAAGAAGAATATCATTAAATTCATCATTTGATTTTACACGTCAAGCCACTTCTACTGAGTTTTTACTTTCTCTAGCCAAAATTTTACCCATTCCAGCAAAAATGAAACATTTACAACAGGCATGAATGAAAACCCAAGGCAGAATATTTGTGTTGGACCAAACAGTCAAACTCCTAGAGAGTAAGAGTACCTTCTCACAATGCGTGCACTGCTGGTCAAAACTGAAGTTGGAAGCAGCAGCCTTTGTACTTAGCTTGGCATTCTTTCCAACAATAACCCAGCTTCGGATAAAGCTAATGAAACAAGAGAGTTTATCTAAGTAAGCGAAAATGCATACACGATTACTCGTAATGATAGATTAAAATGCTAAAAAAAAGCTGTTGTTCTAACTAAACCTTGAATCTACTTCATCTTGCATATTCATGAGGGCACGAATGCCACCGCAGCAGCTATGGCCAATGATTAAAATGTTTTCAACCTGCAAAAGGAATTGCGCTAATAGTTATACGTACATTCAGAGGGCAATAAAAGATTATAGAACCTTGAAAAAAGGGAAATAGATAGATATAGTGACTTACTCCAAGGGAATTTACAGCAAATTCCAATGCCGCATTTGTTTCTGATGGCCCACTCTGCGCAAACAGAAAAGAATTTACAATATCATTTCTTGAGCGCAGACTCTGTAGCATTGAAAATCAAGCATAACTTAAGTTAAATAAAAGCACAGATTATATACCTCGTATGTGGGCACCAAATTTGCGACATTGCGAACCATGAAGGCTTCTCCTGGTTGAAATCCCAAGATGTTTGAGGGGCATACCCTAGAGTCTGCACAAGCAATCACCATAAACTGTTCTCGAAATGGTCAGTACAGAAAACACTCTACCCCACATTTGAAGAACTAAATTGGCAAATCGGTAATAAAAGCCCCTGAACTAAAATTCAATAATTATCCAAATCTCTATATTTTTTTTCAATCAATTAAACCCTCAAACATCTATTTTCATCAATTTAGCTCTTGTTAGAGGAAAAATGATTAATTGTTTCTGTCCAATTAGGGGCTTAATTGGGTGGAATTAGATGTTCAAGGGTTCAATAGATTCGAAATAAATGATTCAAGACTTGATTGCAACAAAACATCAAGATCTTAAATGATTACTGCATTTTTGTTTGAAGACTTTTTTTACCCTTTTGCCAACTAAATTTAAACAAAAATACAAAAGACTACAAGAAAATATGGGTCATAGAAAAAAACTATAATGAATCACTGGAAGAAATATCATTACTTTAGGAGCTTGACCCTTGGAAAGTGCTTGAAAGTGTTCCGAGTTTTCCCTGCTCAAACAAGAATATTGGATCAAAGGACAGACCACTTCTAATTCAAACTAAAACACCTTGGCCAAGAATTCGCAGCTTACATGTATTTATGCTTTTTGAAACTCAGGAATCTATTTTTCATTTCATCAAACAAATCACATCCGCTTCCCATGTCCACTAGGCTCTCTTGTTTGTCACCTTTAAGCTCCCGTGTTAGAGCTGAAGGCTCTGCCGAAGCCCTCAATTTCACACCTGTGTTGCTCCTACAAATGTCAGATAAAGACATTTGTGGAAGCATAAAATAGATTTATCAGTCAAACTGAATGCAAGAAACTATATTGCAGGTGAGTTAAACTAAATTGGAAATAAGCTTATCTCTTAGGGTCAACCCAGAAACTTGCATTGTAGTCGTAATCTTAAATTGTATAACTTCTCCTATAACAAATCATCAAACAAGATGAATCAGAGCTTGAACCAATTTGCAAAAGATCTTACAAATCCCCATGATTCTAATTCCCTTATATGAAGAACATCAAATGGTTGTAGCTAAAGGGACAAAATTTTATCAACACCAGCTCAATTCATTAGATCCCACAACCTTAATTCTCATTTTCTAAATCAGTTCAAGCCTTATTAATGCCATAGAGCAACAGTTAAATTGCAAAAGGTTTCTGCAGTAACAGATTAAGTCACTGAAAGTGCTACCAGATTCTTTTTACAGAAAAGAAAAAGAATAATAATTGTTACTTTTAATCCAAAAGAAGTTAATAAACTTCTTTAGTTTCTTTCTTCTTATTCCATTTTTGCCAAATTTAGTTAACGCAATACCAATACCTTACCTGCAACAGCATAAAGGTATGAACATAAAAAAAGATTAAACATTTGGAGCTATAGCTCTCCAATGAAACACCTAAATAAGAGGTAACAGAAACAAATCTGAGATTTTTAACAGAGGGAAAACTGATTAAAACAGTCCCTAACCTGAAAGAAGTCCAAAGCCTCAACTGGGTCTGCTGAATTTCCCCACTTTTGACCCTGTAACCAAAGATCTGCTAACAAACCAGTAAACCCACATTAAAAAAAATGCATAAAAACATGTACATGAAGTATTAAATGATAAAGAGAGAAAGAGAGAGGTTACGGTTTACCGTTAATGTTCCATTTGGTAAAGGTTCTTTTGAAAGAGAGGTAGGTGCAAGAGCTGCCATTGGAATTGGATGGATCTAAAAATAATAGGTGAGGGAGTCTCGGGTGAGGAGTAAAGGAGCAGAGCGTTCTTTGGGTGATGAAAGAAATGCAGGAACTAGGTAAAGGAGTGGTGAAGATATTTATGAGAGTCATTCAAAGCATTAAAACCAGGGAAAGGGAGAGTTTTTAAAAGGTGGTTGTGTGTTGGTTGGATCAAAACTACACTTGTTTAGTTGTTTTGTGCTCCGATAAAGACGGAGAAAACAATGTCAAATTTGCAAATCCACCGTCTACATCTACCGTAAAATGAAAAAAAGTTCTCTACACAAGAAGATGCTGACAACACATGCCCAAAACCGTTTTGGACATGCATGAAATTCATGCAAATTTTCAAAGCATGGTTGACATTTCAATGAAGAAATTAGGGTTTGAATATATGACAATTATTTATATTTAACATCTGTTTACAGAGATTTCAATTTTTAATTTTAATAATTTAAGATTTAATCTTTGATAATTTGGTGTAACAAAAATAATTATTTACATGTACATAAATAAATCAAGAATTAAATATCTTTAAAGTGTAATTTTCGTTAATTTATTGATTTCATCTCAACCCAAATTCCAAACCGGATTTATGAAACGGAGAGCACCAAATCCATTACTATCTTATATGATAAGCGCAGAATTTGAAGAATATGAAGTTAAAATACATAGACTAATACTATAACTCTCACGCCTAATCCACAAGAGTCACAATCTTTTCATGCTCAAACCATATTGATCTTTGCTCAAAAAATAAATTAACATTACACCTTGTTGGTGTGATCATTCAAAAAGAATTTAAATATTAATAAAAAAAAAAAACCTCTTTAAAAGTATACTTGATCACGGATGAAATCCTTTCTTGCAAAGGAGACACACCATATTGACATTGCAAAAACTTAATTGATTATTATATTACAATTAATTAATTATAAATTGTGTAAAATTTAATATAGAACGCACATTTATAAATAATGATTCTCGTATAATTTTTTTGTTGTGATTACCCAAATGTAAAATTATAGATGAAATGCTCAGCTATATACCTATCAGAAAAGAGGATTAAAACAGGAAAGTCTATAGCATATGTAATGTGATTGGACGACACGTAATACTCTATTGAAAAAATTCCTAGAAATGAGAGGGAGGAAGCACGATGAATAAGAAAAGTATTGGAAAAGAGAATAAAGGAGCTCAACAAAGAAGAAAAAAGATCAACACGACACATCCTTTTCGATCCAGCCGGAATGCAGATTGCAGAGCTGATCACTAATTGCTGAGCGGTCCATCGACGTTAAGGCAAAGTAGTAGCATCATCTTGAAGTTCTTAAACCATGTGTCGAGGGATTTCAAGCGCAAAACTCGTCGTACCATGCATATTTTTTTCAAGCTTCCACCCAAATGTCACTGGCCCTTGGATTTCCTAGCTCATTTTTCATTCACGGTAATTGCAGCAAGAAAATGTTGATACAAACAAGAGAGCTCTGCTTGAAAATGAGTCATCCATAGCCTCCAAATGGATCATGCCGCTGTGAGATTCATAGTAATAACTTGTTTCACAGATTCCAGAACTTAATTTCTAGACATGAAATAGGGCCTGCCAACAGTAAAAATTCTCCCCAGAGGAAACAAACTACAAAACATTTCAAACCCATAGAACTCCACCGAGGTGCAAAGCTAAAGAAGCCATCTGGACTAATTGCATCATAAACAACAAATGCTTTGGGCAATGCTAGCATTCTTGTCCAGCAGCAAGTTCACAATTACCAGCTCAACTCTGTGACTCATTGCCACATTCATACAAAAGATTCTCATTACCCATGATTCCATGTCTATGACTAACCAAATATTCATGATACACTTCTAAATGGATAGGAGATACTATATCACATTCATGGATAGCGTACCTTTGCTGCTGCAAAAGAGAAAGTTATCAATTACTCCACTCTGCAATTGCTATGGTACACAGATATGAAAGCTGTTAGCTTCGTTCCCAAGTGATCTGTTCTTCCACGGCCTGCTTTTGGACATCTCCTCAGCATCTAAATCTGTGAGCAATTTCACCACTAGGAAGAAGAATTGGAAGCAACCTCCAATTTTTGACAGGAAATAAGACAACATGCTACATGTCTTCCCAGGCCAATACCTTACAATGCGCTTAAGGGCACATTTGGTTCGTGGAATCTTGAATTCTAGAAAAAAATGTGATTTTTAAAAAATTATGATACTCAGTGTTTTTTTTTATTTTCAGGACATCTCGTACTCATATTTATTCATTTGGTTTAGGAGAATTTATATTTATTAATTTTTGAATAATTACCATAATCTCTTTAACATATATGATAGCTCTTTACATGTATGATGATAACTTTTTATTAGTTTTTATTAATAATAAATACTCAACAGATAAATAATGTCTTTAACAACAAAAGAAGATCAATAATTTTTTTATTACTATTTTTTTTATAAAATATCATCAATAAAAAAATATTAAGGATTATTTAAGATATCTTTTATTTTTTAAAAAAGAATTATTTAAGATATTTTTGTTTTAAAAATGCTTTAAATAAACCTTATTTTTTTAAAAGGGGATTATTTAAAGCATTTTGAGGATTATTTAAGGTGTTTTGGTTCAAAAATATCTTAAATAATCTCTTTTAAATATATTAGAAGATTATTTAAGGTATTTTTTTATCTAAAAACCTCTTAAATAATGTCTTTTAAAAAATATTAAATGATTATTTGATATGATTTTTATCCACAAATGCCTTAAATAATCCCTTTTAAAATGTACCAGAGGATTATTTAAAGCATTTTTTATCCAAAAAATACCTTAAATAATCTCTTAAAATTGTTTGAAGGGTATTCAATTTTTTAGACCGTATTATTTAAGGTATTTTTTTAATTAAAAATGTCTTAAATAATTCCTTTCATTACTTATAAATTTTAAAATAAAATATAAAAAAATTACACTAACTCAGTCGGTTAAAGCATATAGCTATAAATTATAAAATCGTTGTTACGATTACTCCTTCTAATGCTTTAATGTTACCAAATCACAACTACAATAATTTTCTTGTCATCATAATTATAATAATTTTTATTACTGTTTTCAATCTTATTACTCATCCAAATGAAACTTTAGTCGTCTCTCTTTTATGATATGATTTATTGTAAGATTATAGTTCAATTTTCAATATATATACATTTTTTATTTTTTATTTTCCTCAAACATTATCTTATTTTTTGAAAAAATTTAGGCTTAAATTCAAAGAGTTAAAGCTATATGAATAATTATCTATTTTAATCATTATGACTTTTTCTTTTGCTGTAAAACAAATGTTTTTATTCATATAAGTTTGTTTGAAATAAAATAATATTAATTTATTAATATTTTAAAATTAATAAAAAATTTAAAAAATAATTCTATTTACCAAACCAATTCAATTATTTAAACATGTTCAAAATATATATTTATTTTTAAAAATTTTTTATTCATTTTTGAAATATTAATAAATTTATATTATTTTATTTGAAATAAAGTTACATGAATAGAGTCAATTGCTTTATGACAAAAACAAAATGTTATAACAATTTCAAAGAAATAATTATTCAAAAAGTCAAAATTATTTAAATTGCTAATGTTTTTGAAAGATATTATTTAAAGCGTTTTTGATTAAAAACACATTAAATAATCATTTTTAGAACTTATAAGATTTAAAAGATAAAATATAAAAAAACTATATTAACTTAATTGGTTAAAACATATGACTATTAACCATAAAATTGAAAGTTTGACCCATTCTTCTAGTGTTTATTTTTTAAAATTACTTTTTTTTTTTGGATTATATAAGACGTATTTTTTATCAAAAAACAACTTAAATAATGTTGATCAATTTTTTTAGAAGATCATTTAAGATACTTTTTGTTAAAAAATGTTTTAAATAAACTCATTCAAGTTTTTATAAATGATTATTTAAAACATTTTTAATCAAATAATCTCAAAAAAAATTAAACAATTTTATTTAAAGTATTTTTTACTAAAAAACGCCTTAAATAATCTCATTTTATTTTTTATAGATATTATTTATGATATTTTTGGCCAATTAATCCCTAAAAAAAATTAAACAGAATTATTTAAAGCATTTTCGATTAAAAAATATTTTAAATAATCTAAAAAAAATTGAACATGATTATTTAAGATATTTTTCATACCAAACACCATTAATTGCAATATAAAAAAAAAAATTTTAGCAGTAAAAATCTACAACTGATTTACAATCACTTTAGACATACTTTTTAAAATGATAACGACTATTTTATAATTTTTTATTCAGGTCAAAATTAAAAATAACGTAACTTTTCCCTTCGAAATCTAGAATACTACAGGGAAAGATGGATTTCTGATTCCAAGACTTTGAGTACTATTAAAAATCTGTCACTTTTCCTCGAAATCGAATTACCGTGAACCAATCGTTGAAATCAAATAACCAACAATAAGGTTCCGGAAGAAAATACATAGATTCTCCCGAACCAAACGCCTCCTAAGAGTCAATTAAAACAACACCAGAACCCTATAAGAAGTACAAACACAGATTAAAAGCAAAGACATCCAACCAGTTAAGCACTTCGTATTCCAACATTTCTTTCCTTTACTAAGAGATTCATTATATGAAGAGAACTCTGTTTAAGCATTATCAAATACCAACCATAAAGGAAAGAAAGCGAAATTCACATCACATAGAATGGAAACACTTAAAATGTGCAGCCATCCATATCGCAACTAACTAGAATGAATGATTAGAATAACTTGTGGGCTCTTCAACATCTTATAAAAAAATCATCTATCTCCGTGAATGTTGCAATAAAAAGATGATGCCTGTAACAAGACAAGGAAATTAAACACAGAGCACAGCAACTCAATTACCAAAAAGCTGCACTTGAGTGGGTAGGGGAATGTCGATATTAAACTAAAATATCATACCATACTAGTTAACAGCTATTAAGATATAATAAGAAAGGAAACGGAATATTCAGATTTCAAGTCTCTACATAAGGGTAAGGAGTTTATCAAGCTGAGCATAAAGGATCTTGGGAAAATAGACTTTTGGAGATGTAGCACAATGTTGATACAGAAGATTTCTGCGAATTAGGAGGAATATCTCTCACAATTGGCATAGGATGCCGTTGCTAGAGGATTAACATACAAGCAAGTTAGCAATACTCTGCAACTAGAAGATGAAGTTGCATACTTTAAACCAGAATCTGACAATTTCAATTGCAATTCATCTTTCAAGTTAAAGGGGGACGTATGTTAAGGTGAGCCAATAAATCATGTGTTTACGTCTTATCCATGGAGCAAGTATATAAAGAAGTGTAGTAAGAATATAACTATTTCAGACTGAAATCTCTAAACTCCTAGGCCATAAGGACTGGACGCCACATATTACCATAAGGTCTGGAGCTTCAGTTCTTAAAGTACAAAAACAGGCTGAAAGAACTGAAGGAAAATTCATTCTTAAAGTGACAGTCGGTTTTTTTTTTTTTTTTTTTGGGGGGTGGGGGGGACAAGAAGAAAGCATAAGCAGTTGCTGCCAGTATTACAGCTTCAGAACTTATACTTGGCAATTCATATTACCAAGTATCCAGTCAAGGTAATAACTAATAGTCAGTTTAACGAGAGAGAGCTTTCAAGCTGCTGAGCAAGACTAATAAAGTAACAATTACTGTGGATAAATAATTCTAGTTAAAACTTTCATGATAGAGAAAGATGCATGAATTACAAGCATGCACAAAGTAAAAGCAAGGATACAATAAACAAAAAATACATTAAAACCAATATTTTGCACCTTTCTAGAAAGGAAGATTAAATAGAGTGAAAACAACCTCTGGGAAGTCATGCTTAGAACAAAGGAAGCAGATTTGCGAACACAAAAGCATTGGTAACTAATCAATAGAGGATCCGTAACAATTGAAACTTCTTCTGCTATTAATCCCCTGTCCATTAAGTCTTCTCAAAAGCAAGAGTAACAAACCTAAATAACTGAATTCAACTTTTTCCAAGCATTCTTCCACTTTCCGCATATCTCAGCATCAGATCTTTTCTCTTTTCAATTTTATAAGAGGGAAAAGAGCAGGGGGAGAAAAAACTCTAAGTAGGAAAAAGAAAATATTAAAGCAGCAATAAGGAGGGAGAAAGAGAAGAGGGGGTGGAGGTGAGGCAATACCTTACTATTATAGTTGATGATTCTTTCTACTCAAAAAAGAGAACCAGTCAGCAAACTAACCACCTATTCCTTTGACATCAAGTATCATGGTGGACAGAATATTCAATCTTCAACCCAAAATCTCTCATGGTTATGTACCAAACCTTCTAACCTATCCTCCCAAACAGGAAAATTCACTCAGAATAAACAGCCAGCCGAAAACAATAAAAATAATGACAAAACATGATGCTACAAAATATACAGTCGAATTCAAACTCTGAAAGAACTATGAAAGGAGATCCCAAGTACCTCCACATAACTAATTACTACAAGCATACAAGTACAACAACTACAACTGCTGCAAAAAACAAAAAACAAGGATCTTACTTCACTAAGTAGCCTTAACCTTGTCATCCCCAACAACTGAGAGTATAGGCAAGCTACTCAAAAACTCATCAAGACCCTCAAAAAACCCATTCCCTTCAATGTTATCCTCCTCCCCATATCCAGCATGATTCCCCTCACTCCTCCTTGGCACCGTCTCTTCCACTTCATTACTAAACTCCACATTCAAATCCAACTTCCCCAAATTCTTTGCTCCTCTTCCCATCTGCTTCCTCCCACTATTCGCCACCCCCCTTCTGCTCGACTCAGCAGTCAGCACACCCTCCTGCACCACGGACACACCACTCACATTCCCACCGGCATTCGCTTGCTCATTACTCCCCTTATTCACTCTCTCACTCTGTGGTTTCTTAGCATTTCTCCCCACAGATCCTTTCCCTTTGGCATTCTTCGCCTTCTTCTTCCTCATCTCATTCTGCCATTCATCATCATCATCATCATCCTCAGAAGTCCCACTTGAATCAGAAATCTCTACATATACATCATGTTCATCATAAAACACTCTTGGTGCAGACTTTTTGGCAGTCTTCTCTTTTCCAGTATTCTTGTTATTAGGGCAAGCAAACATGGTCGAAATAGGTGACCAACTGGGAAAATTACCCCCCATATTCTTACCATTCCCCGAAAATCCTAAAGGGTAAAACCCCCAGCAGCAGAAATACGTGTCATTTCCGTTCACCGGCGGCGACGGTATCACAACTGCATGAAAAGCTCTCCTGCAGTTCTTAGTCTGACATCTCAGGGTACAATCCTCGTACACCTTCGGATACTCATAGAGAACGTAACAGTACGGACAAGCCGTCCAGAAAGTCGGTACCTCTGACACGGTAGCTTCACTAGGCCGAGTCGAATCGCTCTTCTGAGTCATACCAGTTGTCTCAGTCTGACTATGCTCCGTAGGAGTAGGAGGAGGAGGAGTTGTCGTCTGATTAATTTGACCCGTCCGAGTCGGATCAGTCCGATTAAACTGACTCGAGCTAGCGCTTCCTGTCTGATTAACCTGGCTCGTCCGAATGGGCTCGGGCCTATTAATGTGGTTCATCCGTGTAGGCTCGGGACGATTAACCTGGCTCGTCCGTTTAGGATCGGGCCGACTAATCTGGCTCAAACCAACTGATCCTATCTGATTAATCCGACTCGGTCCAGCTAAACCTATCTGATTAATCTGCTTCGTCCAAGTTGGCTCCGGCGGATTATTATTTAAACCCAACTGCCCTCCTCCTTCTAATGCGGCATTTCCATCTCTATTATCACTTCTAGGGCTTCTTCTCACAAATAGTGGTTGCGTGACTTGCGTTTGCGTTTCTTTCTGCGGCGTTTGCATAAACAGCGTTTGCGTTTCTTTCGGCGGCGGAGGTGGTGCTGGTTGCATGAACAGCGTCTGCGTTTGCGGTTGCTGAAGTTGTGGTTGTTGATGATGATGTTGTTGACTGAGTTGACTCGCCTGAGCAAACTGAAGGAACCTCAACTCGTTATCATAAATGGCCTTCTTAGAAGTATTCGACAACACATTCCAAGCTTCAGAAACGAATCGAAAAGCCTGATCTGCGAAAGAGAGCCTGTTCTTCACAGGATTCAGAAGAAGGGCGAGTTTCCTGTACTGACTCGCCACGACTTCCATGGACTGAGTTAACGGTACGAGTTGGAGGATCCCGTACCAGTCTTGAGGATTGGATTGGGCGGTTAAGAGAGTGTCCGTGACGGCCAGGATTTGGTCGGCGAGGATTGGGGCCGATTCTCGAGCTCGGATGGCGAAGGTTCTGGTCCCGTGCAAGTCACGTGAGGCCAGGAGCTTCTCCGCTATGGTCAGCCAACGCTCCGCTTCGGTAGTGTTAGCGTCCATTTCTCTCTCTAAGATTTTGTTTCTCTCTCTTGCTTTTTTGTTGTTGTTTGGCGATGGAAGGAGCAGACAAAAGTGCCACTCGTGTCGCATTCTATGAGTGGACGAAGGAGAACAGTTGTTTTAATGAAATGACAATGGTGTTCCGGTTGGCTTGGATGGGATAAGAATGACTATGTATGGGTATTATTGTCATTTGAGGTTCAGTGCTGAGATGAAAAAAACGGAATGGGGCAAAAAACAGAAACAGAATGGCAAGCTTTGCGGGAAAAGGATGTTTTGGTCTATACCGAAAATTTATGAATCGTTGTACATGAGCCTTTAATAAGGTTGGCAACGGTAATTCCGAGTTTTTGTTTGTTTTGAATTTGATTTAATTTTATATTTATTAAATTTAAATTTAATTTGATTTAAAATTTTTTTTATTTTTTATATTTGATTTTGATTTAATTTGATATTGTATAAATTATATCGGATTTAATTCAATTTAAAATTAATAAAATATTATTTTTTAAATATAAAATATTATTTTTAAATATAAATATTTAAATATATAATTATATAAATATATATAAATAAATAAATTAAATAATTAATTTTTTATATAAATATTTGGTAAAGTCGAGTTTATCTAAAATTCAAATTCGATCTGATCTCAATTTTTTTAACAATACCCAACCCGATTCGAAACTCAAATTTCAAAAAAAAAAAATCTATCTTATTGGATTGAATCGGGTTGAAACCCGTTACGACCAAATTGAGTTGTCAACCTTAACTTTTATTTATACCCTATTTTTTCTCTAATTTTTTTAAAATTATTTTTAAATAAATTATTTAATTATTTTTTAAAAATTTTTTTTACTCATTAAGATATTTTAAAATTATAAATCTTGAAACTCTTAAAGTTTTTAGATTTGTAAATTGAGAAATTTTTAAAAGTTTTTGAATTTATATATTCAAAAATTTATAAAAATTTTCATCTTAGATTGATGAAATAAAAAAAATTCAAAAACCCACATGCTATAATAAGATGTTTTTTGTATAAAAGTTATAATTTTTGTCTATTAATTTATAAATAAATTTATAATTATTTGAAATAGATCATACTCTTTTTGTAATATTAGGAAAATTTTTAAAATACGAAATTTTTTCTCAACTGAATTTATGGATTCTATTAAAATTTTTAAGAATTAAATAAATATTTTTTTGTTAGATTGGGATGATATTGATTAGATGGATTTTAATGGAAACCTAAACACTAAATATAACTTTTTTAATTTGTCGAATAACTTACTAGATTTTTATATCTAATAAATTATAAAATTTATCAAATATATATATTTGAAAACTTTTAAAATTAAAAATAAAAAAATAATTAAGTAATTTTACTTAAAAATAATTTCAAAAAATAATAGAAAAGTGAGGTGCAAATAAGAGATCCTTGTTGTCTAGTTTCCAACATGTGAAGATAAGTCCCTCGTTGAGCCTTTTGACACCTTGCTAACTTGTAAGGGTCATTTTGGTTATCTTATTGTTTTATAAGGGCCGAACCAATCATAAATCTAAAACAACATTCAGTTTTATTATTATTATTATTATTATTATTACAAATAATCTATTCATTACCCAAGAAGCTGTAAACCTTACTAAAAGCATTTACAATAGTGCCCAACATTTACTGTACAAACATTTCTCTACTCAACTCCCATATGTCATTAAGGATTTGATTAACATGGTCAGGAACCATGTTCTTCGCTCTTATTAGTCTTAGCCCCACCAAATTTTTAATTTATTTCAAGAGCTAGTCTTCTTAGCATTCTTCTGAATTGTAAAGCCTGTTGTTCCTCTCAACGCAGATCAAATATATGTAAACTCCCTATGCCAATCTTAGTATCAGAGAAACAAATGCCTTCCCTTTCAGCCTCTTTATTGCCCATTGGAACTCTCTCTCCCAGTCAGCCACTTCCCTTTGTAGATTATATAGCTGCAAAATCTGTTTTCAGATAGTCTTTGGGTATGTTCAATTGAAAAAATATGAGTATTGCTTCTTTTTTTTTTCTTCTAACTTACGTAAGACACAATCCTTATTTATTGACTCCCCCACGATTTTCTGTTTTTAGTAGGGAGCCTTTTAAGAATAGCCATCAAAGTTATTATAACATGCTTAAGAATATGGAATGTACACCATACGAGTCTATGCCAATTAACCTTCGGTTGCTTAGTTCTTAATTCCTTACACAATTTTGCAGTAGTGTAGCTAGGACTATTGGTGCTCCAAACAACCCCATTTTCCTGTCTGCGTTAAGAACTTGGAGGCAACACTTCTCAGCTTGAATAGTTCTTCATGCCCCAACTATAGCTTGGCTTGATTAGGATCTCCCATATGCTGCACCCCTTAAGCACATAGTTCCTCATCCATACTATCCACAATGATCTAGCTTGTGTGTACATGGACCAGAGAAGCCTAAGGACACAAGCTTTATTCCAAATTTCTATATCGTTTAAGCCAAGTCCACTTTCAGACTTTGGTCTGTATATAACTTGCCAGCTAACTTAAGCTTCCTTATTGTGTTAGCCTACGCTTTTCCAGAAAAATCTTAAGCATAGCTGTATGATCTTTTTGATAACCTGCTTAAGGAGGATGAAGTGCTTGCAACAGTAATTGTGATGGCTAAATATCAAAGACTGAAGTAATTGCAACCTCTCGGCATATGAGAGATGCTTTACCGTCCAGCTCTGGATCATAGTTGCAACTTTTTCATTTAATGGTGCACAATCCCTGATGGTAAGCCTGAACGTAACCATTAGTACACCAAGGTACCTGACAGGGAGCTTGCCAAGCTTGAAACTTGTTTCCTTCAAAATTTCTACAGTTCATCTATTGATACACTTGTGCAAATTAGTTCACTTTTTGTACAATTCAGCTGCAATCCAATAACTAAGTCCAAGTTCCCTTTGGTGAAGATAAAAAGATCATCAGCAAAGCTCAGATGTGTCAGTCTAATCTTTTTACACTTTGGGAGGTAGGAAAAAACACCATGATCGCTAGGAAGATCTAATAGCTAGAAAGCACATTCATTACGATGACAAACAAGTAATGAGACATCGGGTCTCCTTGCCTTACTCCGTTTTCTCCGGTGAAATACCCAACCAAGCCACCATTAATGGACAACGAGAACACTGGTGTGATAAGGCAGCTCTTTATCCAGCCAACAAACTTCCCAACAAACCCCATTGTCTCCAGTATTGATATTAGAAACGCCCAGTTCACAAATCAAAAGCCATTTTCAAACCAATTTTTATGGCACATCTAGATGAAAGAGTAGTTTTGCCATACCCTCTCACCAATTCTTGTGCCATTAGAATATTATCCGTTATATTCTTCCCCTTAATGAAGGCACGCTGGTTACTGCTAATCAAGGTTGGCAGAACCTGCTGCACCTTACCTGCCAATATTCTAGTGATGCATTATAGATAACAGAACAACATGATATTGGTCTAAAACCTGTGTCTTTCCAAGATGTCTGAGAGTATCTTTCCAACTCTCTGTCAACCTTGCCTAGCAGCTTTTTAAATATCCACTGCCTCTTTTAAAATCTGTGTAAATGTCTCCAACCGATTACCTTCACCATCATACAGACTTTTATGGCACTCTTTTTTTGCTCAGTTGCCACCGTTTTATGAAAAAGACCTTGTTTTGATCCGCCCCTTGAATCTTTCTTATCTTGGACTTTTGCCTCCATAAACTTTCTTAAGCTTTCAATAATTCATGTAGTTCCATTGAAAATATCTTCTGTTTTTCAAGATCTGCTGCAGCTAGACTAGTTAAGGCAGTTACTTACAGCGTTGCTAACTCCTCTCTTTTGTCTTTAAATTTATCCATAAATTCACCATATTGCAAAAAGTTGAACTTCTTTAGCACCATCTTTAATATAAATTATTAAAAAAAAAAAAACAAAAAAAAAGCATTTGGCGGATTCTTATTGATTTCTCTCCCAATTCTCAATTCCCATATGCCATACGCATCCACTCCCTTTTTTTATTAATTATGAATCAAGTACATATGTGCAATATTCTTCTTTGTCCTCTATGTTGGATACAAAAACATTTTCATTCCTTATCTTAAGCAAAATGTAAGATACAAATGAGATATTGGATTAAAAATATGTTCATCTTTGAAGGATGGTGCCGGAGATTGATTCTAATCCCTCTTTCTAGCCTTTTTTTCTCCCCTTCTCTTTTGGCTAGGATTAGTTTTTATTCCTAATCTATGGAATTAATCCAACATCATTTCTTAATTACAAATAAACTATTAAAGATTCATTTTAAAGTTTAATTAAAAATTTTTCATCGTATTAGAAAATGCATTTTATAATTGAAGAATCGAAAGCTTAACAAAAGCACACACTTAAGAGAAAGATAATTAATTAGCCTATCTGGTGTTTTTATAACCCTTGTACTTTAATCCAATATTCCTTAATTTAAAAAAATAATAAGAATATCATAATGATTTTTAGGATGTAGATTCAAATTTTACGATTCGTGGATTTAGTCTAATTTTATGTTGATTTAATTTGTTTGTTTTATTTTTTTTTTCATGATGTACTAATTGATTGATAGATATTGAAAAGGCTAAAATATTAAAAAAATTATTGAATATTTCATCTTTTTAAATAATTTTTTATGCTTTTATTATATCAAAATAAACTCTTATTTTTATTAAAAAATTATTTGATATACTAACAATGAAAAATTTTAACTTTACAAGTGATTATATGGAGACACATGTTTCATTTTTTTTTTGAATTATTTTTTAAATATATCATAATCAACATATATCACTTTGTTAACCTGTTTGTAAAGTTAAACAATTACACTGTTGTTGTATTTGATAATTTTTTTAATTTATATTCAAATAAAATATTATTTTATGTTAAAAATTTATTTAAGAATGGATTAAATGTTAATGACTTATTTAAATACAAATTAAATAATAATAATTTTTAATTTATATTCAAATAAACTAATATTTCAAATGAAATATTATTTTATGTCAAGGATTTATTCAAGTACAGATTAAATATTAATAGCTTATTTAGATATAAATTAAATGTTAATAACTTATTAGAATATCAATTAAAAATTAAAAATTTATTTAGACATAATAAAAATATAGAAACTTACTTAAATAAAATAATAATATTCAGTTTTTTTTCACTATTAGAGTCTACTGAAAATTATTT